ATTCAGTTTGATCCCAACTTAGTTAGCATTAAGAGATTGCCGGGCCGGGGCCTTTAATCCCAGCACTTGGGAGGCAGAGGCGGATTTCTGAGTTCGAGAGTTTTAGGCTAGCCTGGTCTACAGAGTGAGTTCCAGGACAGCCAGAGCTATACAGAGAAACCCTGTCTCGAAAAAACCAAAAAAAGAAAAAGATTAATATCCAGAACATATCATCATCTAACTGCAAACTAGAATGTGGTTACTTCTTTATGAAATAATAAGAGAAACACATAGAAGAATCTTCGTTTTCTTTTGCAACCCACAAAAAAAGCTGTCCTTAGATATATTAATTTCGGATTTTATAATAAACAACAAGTATCTTTCTCCCTAGTAACTTGTAAAGTGTTACCTTAAACTCCTAGACTCAGCAAACTCTCTTACTCTTGCAAAAATATGTGTGCATACCATTGCGGTGCATGCTCCAGTGCACACGAAAACCAAAGGCTGACTCTTTATGTTCTGCTACTATAAAAGCTCGTGGGCGAGTTGGAGGCCACCCTGGTCTACAGAGTTCCAGGGCTACTCAGAGAAGCCCTGTCTCAAAAAAAAAAAAAAAAAAAAAAAAAAGCTCCTGGAGACTGAACCAAGTCTCTAGGCTTGGTGGTCAACACCTATTCTTTTCACTATCTCCTACTTTTCTTTCCTTTTTTTAAGAAAAAAGATTTTTGTTGTATTTGTACACACACAGGTACCAAAGTGTGTATGAAGGAATGAAGACAGCTTTTTAAGAAAGAGTGAGCTTTCTCTTTTCGTTTCAGGACAATAGAACTCTGGTCAACAGGTTTAATAGCAAGTTCCTTTACCCACACCACTCAGCAATCTTGTGGGCCCCTCCATTATTTCCTTAATACACACATACCTTACTTATTGTGTAGGCCCTCTATAAAAGTGTCTCCAATCAATACAATACATCACACATCTATTTTTAAGACCTTTTTTTTTTCTTTTAATCCTGTGTTATGTATGCACCAATGTCCATGCACACAAGTAACCAGATAAGCATCAGAATGAGCTAGAGTTGTAACATAAGATTATGAGGTATCAGTTATGGATAACAGGAATTCAACTCTGGCCCTCTAAGAGTGCAGCAAACACCCTTAACCACTGAGCCATCTCTGCTTTAGTATTTATTATGATCTATACTCATTTCAATATGTCTATTTTCATATGCAATCTTTAAGTGATGATCTATTTGTGAATGAATCTCTGGCTCTCTCTTTGATACAAAGATTTAATGTTAATCTAATAAAAGTTTTAATATTATACTCTTCAAGAAGAAATTTCACATAGGGATGGTAGCACACACCTTTAATCCCTCTTAGGAGGTAAGCCCTTTAGGTCGTAAATCTCTGTGAGTAATAACTTGAAGAGGGGTCCCCTACATCCTTTTACGAAAAATATTAAGTCATAGATCACTAAGATGCATGGTACTTTCAAGAGAACATTTGCAGTAACATTACTTACTTCCCTTTGATCAAGCATCAGCTATTTGGAAATTGTCACAAATATGGTCACAAACATTTATTTAGATCTGTGCTAATTCTATGTATTACCCAAAGTTCTGGATTGAAATTGTTTTTACAAGGTAGATAGTTCATAGATTTGACACGTTTCAGTACATACCAAAATTACACACATAACACATATATAATTTTCTTTGAATTATAAAATTTTACTCACATTTGATTCTTTGCTGCTTGCCTCTGAGCTTTTCTTTCTTTCCTTTTCTGATCTGGTGGCTTAGCAAAAACAATTTCAATATTTTCTCCCTCCAAGTCTTTACCATTCATTTCTTCCATAGCCTTTAAAAAGTAAGATAATAATCAATGTGAAAGAAGTCCTTTCAAAATAATTAAATTTAAAAATTTTTAAATATTTTATCATTAACACTAAAGCTTCAATTAGATAAAAGATCTCCCTCTTCACTATTTTCACTTTAAAAATGTGGCAAGACCAATAAATATTTGCTTAAATGGGTTTGTTTTTCCAAGACCAGGTTTCTTTGTGTATCCTTGGTCATCCTAGAACTCACTGTTTCTGTAGACTAGGCTGACCTCGAACTCAGAAATACACTCACCTCTGCCTCCCAAGAACTGAGATTAAAGGCATGTACCACTCACTACCAATGGATTTCATACCCTGAACTTTGCCTCCAATTTATAAAGCATACAGACTTTAATACTAAAAAGAGTGGTCTAATTTAGACTCCTATGGAATTTCTATCACTTATTTACCTTGACAGCACCATCTCTCTCATCAAAATGAATGAAAGCATAATCTTTTAGCTTCTTCACTCGTTCCAGTTTCCCAAACTGACTAAACGACTTTTCTAAAATTTCTTCTGTTACAGTGTTGGCAAGGTTGCGTACAAACAGCACTTTTACCTAAAATAAAAAAAAAAAAATCAAATTCCCTAAATATTACCAGAGCTCAATTTCCAAAAGCATCCACCCAATTCTATAAATTAACCTGAATTACAACCACTAGAAGATAAGTTTTGAACTCTGGGTAAATACCAAGGAATGAGACTGTTGGTCAAATCAAAAAGACCTGAAACGGGTACTAACAAGCTATACTTTTTGAAAAGTACTCAGTTATCATTAGTAAGTAAGCTAAGACTAAAGTAAAACTTCACACATATTAGGATTACAACACTTTAATACAAATGTGGGACTACAGAGTAACAGAAACTTAAATGATTCAGCCCCTGAAGAACACTTTCTTACAAAACTAAACATAATTCTATGAAGAGATTTCTCTTCTCACTTTCCATGCACACATATTTCTTAGTGTAGAACTCTAATCACTTAGTAAACTACACTTTTACCATCAAAAAACATCATTTAAAACAATGCACACATTTTTTGGTAGGTTTTCTCTCATGTTCCTCCTACTAACTCCATAAAAATAGTTTAGCTTAACTACCATTACCTTTGCCATGACTTCAGGATCAGGATCTTCAATAGGATCGGCCCATTCAACAGTTCCAACATTTCCCCAGACTTTGACTTTACCACTCATTAGCCTACGCCTTGCCTGGGCAGCTGTTTTGTGATCTTCATATTCAAGAAAGCAAAAGCCTCTGTTTTTTTTCTTGTCATCAGGTTGGTGGTATAGAATGACATCTGTAAGACCCTCTAAAATTAAGCAAACATTGCAGAAAAATAACTAGCAAAAACATTCAACAGCAAAAGCCTTGTTTAAATTAACCAAGATACTATTTAAATAAAAATGAGAAATAATCTTATTTTCTCATCTCAACACTTTGACAAAAGATGATTATTTTGAAAAGAATCAAAGATATGCACTGCCTATAATTTCAACACTCAGGAGGTTAAGACAAGTCATGAGTTTGAAACCAACCAGAACTACATAATCAAAACAAGCTTTCAAAACAAAAAGACCCCAATAATTTTCCAAATCAAACCTGTGCAAGTATTCTGAGCCAACGAAAGTTTTTGTTTTTAAAGATTTATTTATTTTATTTATGTGAGTACATTGTAGCTGTCTTCAGACACACACCAGTAGAAGGCATCAGACCTTATTATAGATGGTTGTGAGCCACCATGTGGTTGCTGGGAATTGAACTCAGGACCTCTGGAAAAGCAGTCGGTGCTTTTAACCACTGAGCCATCTCTCCAGTGCCCAAAAGCAAAGTTTTTTAACTAGCCCCAAGGGCCATTTTAATTCCACTAAATGCATCAGAGGAAAATGAAAAAATAAATTTCATATAATTAAGAAAAATGTCAGCAAATGTTGTCAAACATGGTTAAACTAATTCATTATACATGTGCAAGAACCCAGGTCTTCAGCATACACAAAAACATTACCAATGAACTACAGCCATAGTACTTGGTTTTTATGTTTTTGAATAAAGGTCCCACTATTTTGGCAGGTCTAAAATATATTTAAATAACATCTTTTTCTGCTCTCAACTATCAAGATCATTACTTCAAAGGAAAACAGTAGATATATTGCTACTACCAGTCACTTTTCTGCATTTCTAAAGACTTATCAGAATAACAATCTGAACACTGTAGGTAGACAAACAACTCAAAAAAAATTATACCATATTAACATATCTCTGCATATATGCACTCATTGTAGCACTCATTCCTCCTTAATATCTAATTAGCAACACCTAAGGAACAGAAATAAATATAAGAGATGTGCAACAATTTTACAGATTATAGATTTAAATTCCAGCCATATTCCTAAATCTGATTTTGTCTTCTGTCTAAAATTTTTGACAGGGTCTCTCTCATGCAATTCACTGTGCAACAGAATACAACCATGAACTACCAACTATCTTGCCTCCTCTTTCCATGTACTTGACAGGTGTGCCTGGAACACCACATCTGGCTTTATAGTGTGATGGGAATCAAACCTAAGGCTCTGTCAATGCTCATTGAACACCCTAACCCTGTAGTCCTAAATTAGCTTAAATGCCTGGAAATTATTTCCCTAAACCTCTATGTGTACTTGCTTTATCTTTTTTTCTTTAAATTTGTGTATATACATAGATGTTTTACTTAAATATACATCTGAGTCTGGTGCCTGCAAAGGCCAAAAGACAATGTTGAGAGCCATCCAGTAGGTCCTGGAAATCCAACTCTGGTCCTCTGAAAGAATGACCAGTGCTCTTCACTGCCAAGCCATCTCTCCAACAAAGTGTTCACCTCTCTCAATAATAAGGTTACTTAATTAATAAAGCTGAGGTAAAAATTCTTAGTTAACAACTAATTTTAAGTGTTTTGAATAATACCTGGCACAAAAAAAAGTTTTACTAAAAAATTGTACCTTTTGTCAATTAAATCCAACTTACCTGTCACTTTACTAAATTCTTCAAGAATCTGTTCCTTGGTTTTACTCTTAGGAATAGAGCCCACAAAAAGCCTATTGTTGGCAACTGAGATGCAGACACCAATATGCTTCCCGGAACGAATTTCATGATTATTATACTAAAAGAGAAAAATTATACCACATTTTAAATATATCAATTTTAAAATATTAACTATAAAGATTCTCAATCATATGCCAACAAAACCTTTTTCCCCCAAAAGAAAAACTTTAACAAACCAAGTAGTTCCAGTTTAAAAGTCTACCTTTTCCTTATAATAGCATATAAAAGGTGAATTATTCTCAAAAAAATCAAAAAAAAAAAAAAAAGGAAATTATTAGGGATGCAGAAGAGAAAAAGACACAGGTGGGGTAAAAAGAAACAGGTTTGGACATGATCAAATTACATTTTAGAAATGTATGGAGATGCCACAATGAAATTTTTTTTGTAGAATACCAATAAAATGAGCATTTTACCATAATTCCTATTTCAGAAAGAATGATAATCTGAAATACAAAGATTTCCCTTAAACACCAAACAAGATCATGGTTTTAATACGTTTAGTTTTTTGAATCCTTTAATACTGATTCCATAGTATCTTAACCTCTAAAAATCTTTCTTCCATTCAGGTATTCAAGGAAATTTCATTCAAGATGTTCAAGTTATCCTCCCTACAATGTAACTAAAACATTCCCACATCCTCTAGTAGTAAGTGTCAATAAAGAACACAGAAACAAATAGAACTTAAGTTTAAAGATGAGCTCTTTTTATTCTAAGTTTAACCTTGTTTTTATTCCTCCATTTCATTTTTACCAAATATACAATAATATCAAGGAAAAAACTGCCTTTTCAAAGAGAAAGAAAAAGCAAGCAAGTACAAATCACCCAACTATAAAGCTACAATAAAAGTAAATGTAATGTTCAACTAACCAAACCCTGTAGAACGGTGAGATATGGAAGAGTAGGACAAAATATAATCTTATCAACTAGCTACCAATCTTACTATTTACAAACTTAAAAGTCTTCAAAGTTTCCAGTTTGTCAAGTGGATTTAGGAACTGCATTCAAAATGCCTCAAATTTCTATGTAGCAGATGTGCAGCTTCATGTGGATCCCAAACCACTGGATCAGGGGCTATCTCAAAAGCTGCTGCTTGTATGTGGGAGCCATTATTCCAGCTGGGCTACTTTGTCTAGCCTCAGTGGGAGGGGATGTGCCTAGCCTTGCAGAGACTTAATGTTTGAAAGTGGAGGGATACCCGGTGGGGACCCCACTCGATAGAAGGGGAGGGGGTGCGGGAAAGATTGTGGGAGGGGGAGACCAGTAGGGGTGGCAGTGAACAGAATGTAAAAAAAAAAAGAAATGAAAATGAAAAAATAAATTGCCTCAAATTTTATGCTAATAACAGTGATAATGGCAGCAATAATTACCAATTAACCAATCTCATATACACTTGACCTCAAGATCTACTTAGTTCCCAAATGGCTTCACATATAAAGAACCAGTTAATGGGCCCAAGTGGTGGTATACACCTTGATCCCAGGGCTCAAGAGGCAGAGGCTGTTGCATCTGAATTCAAGGCCAGCCTGGGGATTGGGGGAGGGAGAGCTCTGGGACAGACAAGCCAATACCAGTTCTATTTTTTCAAGACAAATAGTATATATATCAGGTATTACAATTCATATATAAATCATGGTTGACTCATCACCTTGTTTATCTCTAGATAATCAAAATTAAAGTTCATATATTTATCTACAATTCAGACACTTTTTCTACCTTGATGATCAAATTAATTACAAGTTTACATCTAATTCTCCATATTCAAACCAAACACATGACTTTTAAAGTTTCAATTTTTGCCTGTTGAAAAAAGTCTTAGGGCTAGAAAGATGTCTCAGCAGTTAGAACTTGTTGCTCTTCCAGGAGTCAGGTTTCCAGTACCCTACAATGGCTCCAGTTCCAGGGGCTCCAGTGCCCTCATTTGAGTCTGCAGGTGACAGTAAACATACATGGCAGACACACATGGTTCACATATATAGCAGGCAAAACACCCATTGACATAAAACTAGTGTTGAAATTAGTCTCCATTTACTATACTCAGAGATACATCAGATACATCCTAAAACTCCAGGCTAGTTTTCATTTCTCTGAATATCTAATATACAGAGTTTCTCAGACACATAATTTTTGAACCTCTAAAGCCTTAGAAAACAGGGGTGAGAGTACCCTGAAAACAGGGGTGAGAGTACCTTGAAACTCCACTAGCCATGGTCCTCCAATAAATTTTGCTCATATACTCTGTGATCCCCAAGTCCTATGATAGTCAATAAAACCATCCTTTCATGTTGACATCCCCAATCATATTCAACAGAAGTTAACTCTGTCCCCCCAAGAGACACTTGATTATTGTCACAAACTGAAGGGGACAACTAAGAAGCAGGAATATTGCTTCTGGCATATAATGAGTGAAGAATGTCATAGATGCTGGTAAATAAACATCCTACTATTCTAACACAGTACTCCGGAATTTATCAGTTACTTAGTAAGGCTAAATCTTGTCATATACTTTATTTCCTCATTCTTACATTCTTTGAATCTTCCCCGTCAGACCAAAAAGCTCTTATAGACTAAAAAACTGGTTGAATCAAATATTGCAGGGGACTATAAGTTGTAGACTAAATGTCTTATTTTCCAAATAACCAAAATAATCTATGTTGTACTTCAGCATGCAGCTCCCTCCCAGTAGTATAATATATCATCAAACAGTCAGCCTTAGTGGTATTAACTGCTTTTAATTTGGTCATCTAATCTGTAACTGACCAAAACAAAGTTATGACATGCCTTTATTACTCCCAGCATCCCAGAGGCAAGGCAAGTGACAAAAGCAAAACAAAGAGAGAAAAAAGAAAAGACTAACTTCTTGATTAAACCAACGAATTGATTATTATTGAAAGCAAGCAAAATTCTTTAAAGGAACCTAGGTAAGGCAAGACAAAATAAAATTCCATCAAAGTGATAAGCAATTAGAAATTCTAAGGGTTGGGTGTGATAGCCACCCAAACCTTTAATTCCATCACTCCAGAGGAGGCAGAGTAGATCTCTCTGTTGGAATGGGAGGACAACCTGGTCTAGAGTTAGTTTCAGGACAGCTACGTAGAGAGACCTGCATCTAAGGGAAAAAGAAAAAAGAAAAAAAAAAAAAAAAAAAAAAAAACCACTTTATGGGAAGCCATCTATCTGTAAAGTAGCAAATACTTCCAGCATTATAATGCTACTTCTAAATAATGAATATTTCTAGTACCTACAAAAAAAAATTCACATTATGCCTGCATCAACATAGGATAAAAATAAAAGATTTGAAGAATGACAAATTTCTGTGAATAAGATTTATTTTGATTCATTAAATAAAAGTTACTTTTCACCCATATTTGACTGAACTAAAAGCTGAGGGCAGTGATGATACACATCTGTAATTCTAGCACTTGGAAGGCTGAGGCAGGAGACCAGCATGGGCTATACAGTCAGACTACAAAGAAGTGGGGAGGAGACAAGGACAGAGAGCTGAGAGAATACATGCCTCAGTTGCAGCAAACAACCATGAGTCAACAGGAAGAATACATTATGAGTTAAAAGTTAACATGAAACACTGACGCTTTTAGGCAGTTAGGGTTTATCAGTACAGCATGGTGATATGAAAGATGAGCAAAATATTCATATTTAGCAAAATGGGTTCTCATCAAAGTTTTTAAAAATCCAGTAATTGCCAGTGAGATGACCTAGAATAAAATTCTGACCATTAATCAGTGTAGGGAGATGTCTCAGGAGGGTAAAGTGCTTGCCACCCCAACATAAGGCCCAGAGTTCCCATACCCAGAACCCATGTAAAGTCAACTCAGTAGCACTGTAGTATCAGCATATCTACATAGATAGGAGGCAGAGACAGAACAATCCCTGGGAAATCCTGGGACAGCTAGTCTGGCATACATAACTGCAAACAACAAAGATACCCTAATCTCAATAAGGTTGAAGAGGACTGACCAACACCTAAGGTTGTACTTTTACCAGCACCTCCGTAAGCACCTTAACACATGAGCACCTGCAAGCTATGCATGCAGGCAAGTAGACAGGCACCATACAAACTGTCTAAAGAGCACCTGTGCACTCTCTCACTCACACATAAGACAAAACTCTCAATGACCACCTGCATATAGTCTCTCACACAAATTTAATGTCTAACTTGAATTGATTCAGAAGTAGTTATTCAGTCTTACTCTCCTCAGCAAATCCACATACAAGTCTATTTATTTTAAAACATTTAATTAGAAACTTCCAAGTCTATTTATTTTAAAACATTTAATTAGAAACTTTTCTATGTTGAGGCAAAAACTATCTCCTTAAAAATTCTACAGTGAAATGTGTTTCCGTACTCAAGTGACAACTCTTCATATGTCTACATGTGATGCTCAGGACTTGTTCTTTGACTAACCATTCTTTCCCAATTATGGCAAGCAAAACTACCTACCTCTAAGAAGTCAGCACTTTCAAGTATCACTTCAAAGTGTCATCTACAATATAACATTAGTAAATACAGACTGAGATTGAGACTACTGATTAATCCATCCACAGACACTACATTTTTACTATAGTCTGTTTGTTACCTTAGCAGCTAAGTTTAAGGCTTACCTTACTTGACAGCCACAACACATTACTTATATTAGCTATACAAGGATTGTTCTATACCTTGAGAACTCTCTCTTCCTAGGGTACAAAATATTTCAGACCCTCATCTTCTGATCCAAACTACAATCTTTTTTTTTTTTCAAAACCTTTGACCTCGCCGGGAGGTGGTGGCGCACGCCTTTAATCCCAGCACTTGGGAGGCAGAGGCAGGCGGATTTCTGAGTTCGAGGCCAGCCTGGTCTATAGAGTGAGTTCCAGGACAGCCAGGGCTACACAGAGAAACCCTGTCTCGAAAAACCAAAAAAAAACAAAACAACCTTTGACCTCTTTTCTATTGTTGTATTCCCTCATTTGGCCTTGTTCTTTTCATTCAAACAGTTTCCATTACTCAACCATTCACGTCATGCTCCCCATCCCAAGGCTCAAAACTTTAATAATTTG